TGCCCCCCCCGCCCCCCGCCGGGGCCAGGCCTACCCCGACAAGCGCAGCCACAAACCGCAGCCCCGGCCTCCCCCGCCCCCTGGGAAGCCCTACAAGTGCAGTGAGTGCGAAAGCAGCTTCAGCCACAAGTCGAGCTTGAGCAAACACCAGATCACGCACGTGGGCGAGCGGCCGTACTCCTGCGGCGAGTGTCGCAAGAGCTTCCGGCTGCAGATCTCCCTGGCCATGCACCAGCGGGTGCACGCCGGCAAAAGCGAGCTCTCCTTCATTTGCCCGCAGTGCGGCAAGGCCTTCAGCCGGCCCTCGCACCTGCTGCGGCACCAGCGGACTCACACCGGCGAGCGGCCGTACAAGTGCAGCCAGTGCGACAAGACGTTCAGCGAGAAGTCGAAGCTGACCAACCACTACCGCGTGCACACCCGCGAGCGGCCCCACGCCTGCAGCGAGTGCGGGAAGGGCTTCATCCGCAAGCACCACCTGCTGGAGCACCAGCGCATCCACACGGGCGAGCGGCCGTACCACTGCGCCGAGTGCGGGAAGAATTTCACCCAGAAGCACCACCTGCTGGAGCACCAGCGGGCACACACCGGGGAGCGGCCCTACCCTTGCACGGAGTGCGCAAAGTGCTTCCGTTACAAGCAGTCCCTCAAGTACCACTTGCGGACACACATGGGGGAGTGAGGCCTGCTCCCTGCTCCCCAGCACCCAAAGCCCTGGTATCCGGGGAAAGAGGACTGATCAGGGAGGGGGAAGGACATCCTCCAGGAATACCTCTCTGCCCACTGGAGCACTGAGTCGGGGTCCCTTCCTCTAAGCCAGTAACGGGTTTCTGACTCACCTAACCGCATCTGTTGGCACCCTCACCTCGATGGACACGAACTCTCCTCCTTGCTTCTGGCTTCCTTGCCCCGTTCTGTTCTTTTTGATAATAAATGTGGAGCCTGATTAATTTGGTAAGCATCTGCTTAAGGTTTCGGATTTGTCTCCTTAGCTGTCAAGACGTTGCCTTCCCAAAAATACCTGGGTGAGTGGCAGAGCGGTTGGGAGGGGGGAGGAGGAGGAGGAAGCCGGGCTGCACGGAAGCACCCGGCAGACGCCAGAGCAGTTTGCTCCCAAGATCCCAGCTTCTCCAGCGGTGCCAACAGAGAAGGATGCAACCAGCCTGCCTTGTTAGCTTCCTTCTCTGCGCAGTATATTCTGTTTGGTTTTCTGGCAACAGAGGGCCCCTTGCTTTCTTGCATTTTGTCTTGTCTGGGACTTTTGTGCCTATAATTCTTTCATCTTTCCCTGGGGGAGAGAGGAGGGTTTTGTAGATATGGAGGAAACATGAAATGTTCCATTCAAATCGGCGTTTTTCAAACTTGGCCACTTTAAGATGTGTGGACTTCATGCTGGCTGGGGAATTCTGGGAGTTGAAGTCCACACATCTTAAAGTGGCCAAGTTTGAAAAACGCTGGTCTAAAGGAACCTGACTTGAGATCAAGGCTGTCCTAGCTGGGAATTCTGGTGGTCGCAGACCCAATATGCACAGAAGCTGCTACGCTGGGGAAGCGGCAGCCAACGTTATAACATACCACGTCTTGGCTTCCTGACACTACAGAGGGGCAAAGCAGTTTTTCCCATGACCGTTGAGGAGATTCACCGCATTCAATCTTCTTTGCATTCCATCCACGAGGCACTGCCAAAGACTTTCATGGACCCTCCCAGCCAGGGGGTATCAATGAGCGCATAGAAGCAGTCATTCGATTTCACAGTGAGCCAGCTCATCCCCTTCTCTTCTTGCACATGGAAGTTGTGATTGTCACAGGCCTGATCTTTGCGGCTGCCAACCACTTATGTCAGTGGCCTGTAACTGGGCTGGACGCGCTCCCTGGTCCAGATGCAGGGCACTATTCCTTTTTTTTAAAATATATATAATTTTTATTGAAAGTTTTAACAACAATGGTAAGAATAAAAACTAAAGTAGAACAAAAAAGGAGAGAGAGAAAGGGAGAAATAAAAGAAAAAGCTAAAAATGCAAAAAATAAGTAGGAAAAAAGTAGAGAAAGAGAAGATATATAAAGGAGTGGCTTCCGATCTTCTTCACAGCAGTTTTATAAGTGCATTTATATTTTAACTTCTCTCTAAGGTTACATCATGAATCTTTGTTCTATGGTCTATCTTGTTTAATCATCAAAACCATAAATCACAGGTTCATTTTTTTTCTTTTTTACACAAAAATTCCATAAGGAGTTCCTAGGCACCGATAAACATAGATAGATACTGTCTTTTCTCTAATCAAACAAGTCAATTTAGCCATTTCAGCAAGTTCTGTCATCTTCAGCAACCATTCCTCTGTTGTAGGTATTGCCAAATCTTTCCACCTTTGCGCATACAATAATCTTGCGGCCGTTCTCATATATAAGAACAGTGTTCCATGGCTCTTTTCTAACTGTTTATCCATCTGTCCCTGGAAGAAAAGGTCTGGTTTCAACTGAATATTAATCTTTAAAATCCTCTGAATCACTGTTATCTATTTGAGCCCAAAATTTTCTAGCTTTTTTACACGTCCACCAACCATGATAAAGTGACCCTTCTGTTCACATTTCCAGCGTAAATTTGAAGTACCATTATACGTTCTAGATCATGTTTATGGTGTCATATACCAGCGGTACATCATTTTGCAAAAATTCTCTTTAAGATTACAACATGAATTTCAATCCTTTCAGCCTCCTACTTTCCCAGGGTTGCATCTGTGGATTATAACCAAAGTTTTTAGCTCACTATCATACATTCTTTGGCCTGTTCTTCTTCTGTTTCGAATCTCAATAAAAGTTTGTGCGTTTTAGCAACGACATGTCCCTAATTCGTACAGAACCCCGTTCCAAATTCTGTCCTCCGTTGCTCCGTGGCATGAACTCTTCCATCTGCTTCGGGTCTTTCTGACAAGAGAACCGGGGGCAACCCCGTCCTCCTGCCGCCAGCTGTTCTCTCCGGCCAAGCTGGCACCTCGCGGCCTTTTGCCCGCCAAACGCTGCCTGCTCTCTGCTGAGAGCCGCAGAGGCGTTTCCGGGCACGGCCGGGCCCTGCGCGCCCCGCCCGTGCCGCGGGCGCTTCGGCCTGCCTCGCGCCAGCCCCAGCCTCCCTTCCGCCCCCTCTTCCAGAGAGGC